CAAGGGCCTGAGTTCAATCCCTGGTTCTGCAAAAAAAAAAGAAAGAAAAGAAAAAGAAATTCAGCATAAATTTGACATACTATGGCATTTAGAATGCATTAGATTCCAAAAATAAGAAGCTCCTATCTCTTCTTACAGTTCTAAAGTTCAAACAGGTAGAGGATCCTTTTAGATTTAGAATTTTGGAAGTTAGAAATAGGTTTTTTAAGAAACAGGTTTTTTTTAATTTTTGTTTTTAGTTGAATGGATGATTTGTGTAGTATATTTAAAATTTCCTTTTTTGAGATAGAATCTCTATTTATGTAGTTCAGGCTAGCTTTTAACTCACTATGTAGCACAGGCTTGCCTCAAACTCATACCAATCCTCCTACCTCAGCCTCCTGAGTGCTGGGATTACAGGTGTGTGTACCTCACCCATCTACATTTTTGTACAAGATTTCACTATGCAGCTCAGACTCATAGTGATGGTCCTTCCCCAGTGCTGGGATTACAGGCTTGCATCACCATGCTGGGTCTCTGTGGCCTCCTCAGTGCACCTGGGGGTGGGGCTAGCTGGGCCTGTGGTACTGGGGATCCAACTCTTTCCCTGTGCTTGCCTAGGCAGGTCCTTAGTTGGCTGAGCTAGCTTACTAGCCCTTACATTTTTGACATTTTGAAGCCTTAAATCTTCAAATGATGCAAGTTGAATTTTTCTACTTTAGTTGGACAGGAATGATATACATTTTAACATTTATTAGAGGAGCACTTATTTCACTGTTCATTTTCTTTTCCTTCTAGTGTTTTGTTTGCCCCTAGTTCCTTGTTTACCTATAATAATTGTTTAGGTGGAAGTATGATTTCTAGGCTATTTGTTGTTTTATCATTTTGTGTATTTAGGAGACATACTGTTACCACAGAGTCACTGGGGATCTCTTCTTGGACTGATTTAGTGAAATTTTTTAGCAGTTGTATTTAAACTGTTTAAGCAGTGAGGATTTTGTTTTTAAACTTCTTACTTTAAAAGATATTAAATTGTAGCTATTGTATTGAATATTATAATTGCTCTATCAATTTCTGAAAAATACCTAATGCTAACTATTGAAACAATGCTAAGATGTTCATAGCTATACTTCCTCCCAGTTTCTTTCTTTTTTTCTTCTTTTCTTTTTTTGAAACAACTTCTTGCTCTGCAGTTCAGGCTGGCCTTGAGTTCACTTTGTAGCCCAGGCTGGTCTCAAACTCAAAGATCCTCCTGCCTCAGTCTCTGGAGTGTTGGGATTATAGGCATGCACCATGATTCCCAGCTTCCCAGTGGTTTTCAAACCGTCCTTGATATTCCTTTCAGACTCTGTTTCTAGGGTCCCTGAGAGTTCTATGGACTCTCACTGATTTTATTTATTGTTTTTGCTCAACCTACATACAGATCAAGTATGCCTTCCCAAAATGCTTGGAGCCAAATAGATATCAAGTGTTAGATTTTAGAATATTTACATGTGTAAAATGTACATACATGCTAGAGAAGTACTGTACCACTGAGCTACATTGTGGATAAGATCTAGTCTAAACAACTAGATTCATTTCATGTGTATGTGTATATGTGTGTGTGAGATTCACATAGCTTGAAAGGTAATGTTGTACAGTTTTTTAGTATATGTGCATTTTGACTATAACATCACTTGAGGTCAGGTGTGAAATTTTTCACTTGTGGCATCACATCCACACTCAAACATTTTGAATTTTGTATTAGGGATGTTCAATCTGTAGTACAAGTCATTTTTCTGAAGTAATTTTGCTACCTGCAGTTCTTGGTAGATCCATGTTGTCCATAGGGAATCCAGTTTATGTAGCCTCACGTGCTCGGTCTCACTTTCTCAGAAGTCTTTTTCTGTTACATATACCTGGTACTTTAGTGATTTTTTTTTTATTTTAGTGATTTTTATGCCTGTCTCCTATATGTCATTTTTATCTACTATATATTTAAATCTGTAAGAGCCATTATTTTATTCAATGTTGTTTTCCTAGCATCTACCAAAATCTGACACATAATGTCCATTGACATTTATACAATTTAATCTGTGTTGAAGTATATATTTTGACTTCTCATTTCTTAGGGTAATGAAGTCTTTAAGTGAACTACTTACAGAATGAATAAATATGAAATTTTTAACTTGGGAAAATTAAAAATAAAAATAAATTAAAAGCTCACATTATAGCAAACCATAGTAAGTTGTCAAACTATTGTAGCAATAAGAGTTGTAGTCAGTATTTTTTGTACTTCATACATTCTGTATGTAGAGATGTATACAACTGCACAATTCAATGAGGTATAGGCAATGTTCCTCTTTTATAGAGTTGGAAACTGAAGCAAGGAGGAGTGAAAGAGCTTGGTCACATACAGCATGTGGGAGAAGTACTGTTTTAATGAAAAGAGTAGTTTGGTCCAAAGCAGTAAACTTAATGACTTGCCATTTAACCTACTGATTTACAAAATCACATGAGTTATCAGGTATTTGAAGAGAGACAGCAGCACTGAAGATTTTTTACTTCATTCATTTCATCTCATAAATAGCATGTATATTTTCTGAAAATTGTTTCTTGGTAAACTTGGAAGTATATCTGCAAAGCATAACTTCTTTTTCTTTAATATTTATTTATTTATTTTAATGTATTTAGGATAGGGTCTGTAGTGTCTACAGGGTCTCACTACATGGATTGGACTTAGTGATCCTCCTGTTTTCAGCCTCCCAGGTGTTGGAATTGCAGGTGTGTGCCAACATGCCCAGTGTCAATCATCTCAATTGCCATCTCAGCATGCCTCTGGGGAAGGATGGGGCTGGCAAGGCATGCTGGGGATTGAACCCCTCTGCCTAAGTGGGCACTTTAGTCCACTGAGCTATCTGGCTAGCTCTGTCTAATATTTATTGAAACACTGATAGCTTGTTTTAGATTTTTGAAATAAATTATCATCTAAAAGTGTATAATGTATAGAGTAAGTGCAGTTTAATGGAGTTAGGAACAATATAGGCATAATCTTTATTAATGTGAAAATGAATTATACTATTTCCTCATCTATAAATCAAGATCATAAACTTTACAAGTGACACCCTGAATTAGATCCCAACAAAAGTTAAATATTACATTGTTTCCCTCTCTTAGCCTAAAAACTTTAGATGAATGACAAATTATTGATGTTGTAGAAAGTAGTTTCATTAAATTAATTACTTTATTTATTTATTTATGGTGGAAAGGGGGGGAGGGTGAACTCAGGCCCTTGCGCTTGCCAGGCAAGCACTTACTCTACTGAGCCATTTCTCCAGCCCCAATTTCATTAAATTTAAAAAAACATTAAAAAGTATTTAAGCAGTCACTGGGAGGCTGAGTTAGGAGGATCACTGTGAGGTTAGGCTGACCTAGGCTACAAAGTGAATTCAAGGCCATCCTGAATTGCATAGCGAAACCCTGACTCAAAAAGATCAAAGAAAGGGGGGAAAAGTTGTTAAAATATAACCTGTGCTATATAACAGGACAGAAGTGAATCATTAAGAAAAAATAATTAGAAATTCCTATATTTGGGGAAAGACTTCGTAAACTTTTGTTCTTCAATCTCTGAATTTGTGGGGAGGTTCATTTGTTGGTGGGAGGTTTATTTTTGTTTTTGGTGCTGAGGACTGAACCCAGGGTTTCCAGCTTGCTAAACAAGCATTCTACTGCTGAGCCAAATCCCCAGCCCCTAATCTCTGAATTTGTACTAGTGAAAACTGTTTTAGAGTTTGTTCACATAGGCCAGTATATTCATAATGTTGATACTGCAGATAAATAAATTTACTAACACAATTTGGTTTCTCAAGAAAAGGCCATGTTTAAAAACTGGAACAAAAATACTAAAAACTTTCATGCTAACCTGATTAGTAATGTGGACATTTTCCATATTATTGTTTGTGCTATAATTTAAAGAAAATAATGGGAAAGGTGTGTATTAAAGAGGGATATGGCTCAGAGGTAAAGCACTTGCCTGGTGTCCATGAGGCCGTGTTCAATTCCCAACATTTTTAAAAGTCTGTAGTTTAAGGATGTAATAGTAATTTATCTTTTGCTAAAGTTATTTGGATATAAGAAGTAGAAATGTTGAAATAGCATTTGATTCTGCTATAAGATAGCCTCCTTTCTTATCAAATGGGCCTCTTTTAACATGCAAGCTGTTAATGGTTTCCCAAGTAAAATGTGAATTAATAGTATTTACAAAATGGCCAGGATGTGTGTCTGTCCGTCTGTCTGTCTGTCTGTTTGTTCATCTACCATATATAATACACATATGTATATGTATGTATGTATGTATGTATGTACATACAATCTGTGCTAACTTTATGCCAAGTAGTCTTTTATCTATATGGATACATGTGTTAGCTCTTGGCATGGAAAGCCCCTAAGCCCTTATTTAAAAAAATGTTATCTGCCTGTATGCAGGGTCACATAGTATATTCAGACTCTTGTTCAACCCAGTATACCTCAGTTCAAATGAAAGGAGGAGAAGGGAAGCCCATGTGTTCTGGAAATGCTCCCTAGTTTCCAGAATGATTCTCTTTCCTCCCTGGTCATCTGTCTTTCCCCAATATTAATTTATCTAGCCTTCCTTTCCAGCAATACCCAGCTTACCTATGAAAATATTTTCCCCCTGCTTATTTTCAAATTAGGAAGTGGGATCCCAATGAGTAGGCATTAGTCATCTTGTGTTTTCTCATTTCCTTTGCACTTCAGTGTTGCACTGGTCTTCATTTTATAGTGCCACCCAGCCCATTTGTTCTTCCCCCATTTCCTTTATCAAATATGTGACAAAGGAGGCTTGCGGGTTAGCTCAGTTGTTTAAGCGCCTGCTCTGGAAAACCCAGTCAGGCACAGGGGACCCCACTTCAGTCCCCACCTCCACCTGCCTTACCAGACCTGCTGTTAAGGTAGCCTGAACCAGCCATAGGAAAAAAAAAAAATCCTTCTCAAATATATGGCAAAACATATAATTGTAATATACTAAAATTTAGTTTTAGAAATCTTTGGATTTATGGGGTTTAATCTAGTAATTAGATATTTGAAGTAAAACTCAAATAGCTTTCATAAAACACAGAATTCAGAGAAAACAGCTAAGCTCTAAATCACCTGTTTTGAAGTATCTGTGTGGCCAAATAGCTCAACAGATTGAAGTGCCTGCAAGGCAGGCCGGGAGTTCAATCCCTGGGCCTGTGGTGCTGGCCCCTTCCCGGGGCACACTGAGACAGTGATTGAGCCTGGGTGTGATGGCAAGAACCTTTAATCCCAGCACTTGGGAGACTGTAAATAGAATGATCACTACCGGTCTGATCAATGCAATGAGACCCTGTAGACCCTGTCCTAAATAAAAATAAATAAATAAATAAAAGTAAGTGTCTGTGGCCATAACTATAAAGTTCACAGGTGTCAGCTTTTAAAATTAGATTGACTCCAATCATTTATATACCATTTTCTTCAATAATGAGATTAAGGCCAGGGGTATAGCTCAGTCGCATAAGCACTTGCCTGGCAAGCGCACAGTCCTGAGTTTGATCCCTGGTACTGAAAAAAAAAAAAAAAGAGATTAACAGAACTATATTTTATTTTTAATTTTATTTATGTGTGTGTGTGTGTGGCCAGCTCAGCCCACCAGGGGGCGGGGCTGGCTGGCAGGTGGGGCTGGGGGATTGAACCACTGTCCCTGTGCTTTACTAAGCTTGCTCTAAGTAGGTGCTTTAGACCACTGAGCCATCTCACCAGCCCCAGAACTCTATTTTAGATTAAAAGATTTTTATTACATTGTTGGTGTTATTTTGATGGTATTTAGTATTGAACCTAGGGCCTTTGCACTGAGCTTTGAATCCTCACCATGAGGCCTGGCTTACATTGTAGCTTTATGATTAAAATTTGTGAGAATTATTTGTGATAGGAAACTGTTAAAATACACTCGTATCTTAGTTTTTGTGAAGTTTTATCTGCTTACTATCCTGTGGAAACCTAAGAACCCTCATTAAGTTATAATTATGACTTGTTTAGGTAAATGTATGAGCTATTAAAACTTTAAGAATTCTGCAACATGTATATTTAAGACTCAATTTTTTGTTTATGTTTGAGCATTTTTTCTTTATATATTAAAGTTGAATGAATTGAACTTCATATAATAAAGCAAATTATATGGGGTCGGTAATTTTTCTGAACATCTTGATAACCTTATTGCCACAAATGTTAAATAGATGTACTTTTTTTTTTTTTTGTCAGTACCAGGTATCATACTCAGACCTTGTGCTTGCTAGGCAGGTGCTTATACTGCTGAGCTATCTCCCTGGCCCTAAATAGATTTACTTTTAAATTCCTAATTTTCTTTCAAACAGATTATGTATAACTTCTTGGTAAATTTTCCCTCCTTCCTCTTTTCCTTTCTCCCTTTTTTCCTTCCTTCTTTTCTCCCCCTTAGCGCTCTCTCTCTTTTTTTCTTTCATATTGAGAATTGAAGTTAGGGAATGTGGTATTATATTCCTATTCCATTTTCTTTTTTTTCCATAAAAAATACCACAAGAGTTTTTATTGGAACTGTATTAAATCTGTAACTCAAACTGGGAAGGATTGACAGTTGCATATTGCCACAGTATACTCATACATTTATTAGGTCTGTTTTGATTTCCTTCAGCACTATTTAGATTTCATCCTACAGACCAAGTGTAGATGTATATTTATACTTTAGTACCTGTTACTTTGGAACTGCTGTAAAATAGTATTTATTACTCCATGTTCTTATTGTACATTACTAGACAGTGTTCTTTCAGTATCCACAACAGAGAGGTTCCACAAAACCCAACACATATAAAAATCCACAAATACTCATGTACCCTTTAAAAATGGCACATTGTTTGAATACAACCCATACACATCCTCCTGTATATTTTAAATCATCTCCATATTGCTTGCAATACCTAATACAATATAAAAGCTATGTAAAAGTTATATTCCTTTCAGAAGATTTCAGCAAAAAGCTTAGTTCAGACACAATTATTTTTGTTTATTTTCAATCCATGGTTGGCTGAATCTGCAGATGAAGAGCCTGAAAAAATGAAGGGGCAAATATTTATAGAGTATTAAGGGTGTGTGTGTGTGTGTGTGTGTGTGTGTACGTACGTATCTTGTATCCTTGCTAAACTCTAGGTTTTTGAAGATTCTTTGGGACAATCATGTCTGTCAATGGAGACAGTTTTATTTCTTCTTTCTCAGCCTCCTCTTTCTATTGCCTTTTGTTGTCACATTAATGCTGACCAGGATTTCTAGTAAAATTCTGAACTGGAGAGAGGTTAGAGAGTAGACCTTCTTGCCTATTTTTCTTTCATGGAAGAAAACTTTCATTCCTTCCTTCACCTTAAGTATGATGTTACCTGTAATTTTTTTATTATGTTTTTCCTTTTATGAACAGTAGAATTTAATTTGCTAAATATTTTGAGGATTTCTGCAATATGTTCATGAAGTAAATTGGTCCATAGTTTTCTTTTTCCTTTGTCCTTCCTTTATTATTTACTTTTGTTTGGCTTAGATAATCAGGTTAATTCTCACTTTATAAAGAAAGGTGGAAAGTGTTTCATCATATTCTAAGTTCTGATCCACTGAACTGACTGCTTCCCAGTGTAGTTGGTCTGGTTTTCCCACTATTAACGGGTAGAGAAAACATCACGCTGAAGTTCAGCAGGTCACTCAGCTCCTTGTCGGGCCCTATTGTGGCCATGCGCTGCTGTTGCGGGTTCATCTTCGGCCAGCAAAAGTTCCCTTGGGTCACGTGCGGGTGGGCTCGGGTGGGCTCGGTGGCTGCCTTCCCCCATGCAGGCTGCGGTCCTCCCACAGAATTTGTGGGTCTCCTCAGGTGGACATTTTTTTCGCTGAGGGGCCTCAGCACCACGCTTTGCTTACCCTCTCCCTTTTTTCATATTTTGAGGCAGGTTCTCACTAAGTTGCTAGGATGCTAGGCTGTGGGGTCCCCTTGCCTCAGCCTCCAGTGTAATTAGATTTACAGGTATATGCACTTGTGCTTGGCCCTTGCTAAGCATTTTGATGTCCTCCTTTCCCATGAAAACTGATTTTGTATTTGTATTCAAAGCACTCACTGGATGCTACCATAGTTAATGACCTGAGGGTTTTTTTTTTTTTTTTTTAAACCCAGGGCCTTCATATACAGCTACAATCCTTAGTCCTTTTAATTTTGAGACAGGGTTCCACCAACTTGTAAATTGCCTAGGCTGGAAACTTGAAATTGCCATCTTTCTAAGTTTCTCACAGTGCTGGGATTACAGGCAGGTACCGCCATGGCTTTCTGGCCTGAGTTTTGTGTTTGGCAAGTATAGGTGTATGGTATTTCATATAAGGTCTGACATCCTAATTGTTATGCTATGTTAAGAATATAAGTATCAGTTGAGGGGCTGGTGAGATGGCTCAGTGGTCTAAAGCACCTACTTAGAACAAGCTTAGCAAAGCACAGGGACCGCGGTTCAATCCCCCAGCACCACATGCCAGCCAGCCCCGCCCCCTGGTGGGCTGAGCTGGCCACACACACACACACACACACACACACACAAATAAATAAATTTAAAAAAAAAAAAGAATATAAGTATCAGTTGAAATGTTAAGACTTATTTTTGTGAGAATGACTTGCCAAGTATTAAGGGTTTTTTTTTAAAAATGAGAATGTATTTATTGAGGGAAAGAAAGCTCTTGTCTGAGTGAGGGACAGGAGGGGGGGCCCAGGTGGGTTGTCCCCTTAAGGTTTTAAATGATGTAGAATATACTAACTGCTACACTTTTATGTGGTAATCTCAACAGGACTCTACAGGCTCCAGCCCAAGTTCCAGTGGTTGTGTCTCCTGGGAGCCAGCAGTTACATACAGTAACACTCCAGACAGTGCCACTTACAACAGTTATAGCTAGCACAGATCCATCAGCAGGTGGTGCATCTCAGAAATTTATTTTACAAGCCATTCCATCATCACAGCCCATGACAGTACTCAAAGAAAATGTCATGTTACAGTCACAGAAGCCAGGCTCTCCTTCAATTGTCTTTAGCCCTACCCAAGTACAGCAGGTTCTTACTAACAATGTTCAATCTATTTGTAATGGAACCGTCAGCATGACTTCATCTCCATCCTTCAGTGCAACTACCCCTGTGGTGACATTTTCTCCTCGAAGTTCACAACTGGTTGCTCATCCACCTGGCACTGTAATCACTTCAGTTATCAAAGCTCAAGAAACAAAAACTCTTACAAAGGAAGCTGAGAAAAAGGATGTTGAAGATCATTTGAAAGAAGACATTGAGAAAACTGAACAGCCACAGCCTTATGTGATGGTGGTATCCAGTTCCAATGGATTTACCTCTCAGGTAGCTATGAAGCAAAATGAACTGCTGGAGCCCAACTCTTTTTAAGTAATACCAAAGGAATTAGGGCTGACTTCTTTTAAAAATTGGACTAATTTTCAGTTGTCTGCAAACTAAGATAAATCCACAGAGGTCCCTAATTTTCTAATTGTAAAAAATAATTTAGAGTTAATTGTGGCTTTGTTAGATAAGAAAGGAAAGCCCAAGTTTTCTCTTTATACTCCAAATGTTTCAGAAGTCAATTGTGAAGGAACTGGCATTTTATACTATGAATCCATTTTTTGAAATTTTCTTCAGTTATGTCATAAGCATTTTTAAAGTTTCTTTTCTAATTTTACATTGTAGCTTTTCTCATTCTTTTGTAAATATAATAAACAAGGTAACAGGAGTTTTATATAGGAAATATTTGCATTCCACTTGTTTAAGTTGTGACTATCAAATGCAAGAAAATTATGTTGTTAAAATTGTGTCACTAAGATTGAATTTATTTGGCTGCACTCTACAACACAAGTATGAATATATAGAACAGCATTAAAAATTGCTATATGCCCATGCGTGGTATGGATGTCTTGTTTCAGAAGCTTATGTCTCCAAGCTTATGTCTTGTTACATAAGCTTCAGAATGGCTCTCCTTTTGTGTAAGCCCTTGGGCAAGCCACTTGATTACTTTGAGCCTTCTCATTTCTGAAAAGACAAGGATGCATTAGACTAAATGATTACAGATTTCTTACCTAGTTCTGAATTTTCAGATTCTAACACATACATTTTTAACTTATGACAATTAAAACAATATCAGGTTACTTTCTAATATAAATACAGCTAAAATATTACAGAAAAACAAGTGACCCCCCCACAAACTTCATTCTATTTTCAGAAAGTTCTGCTATAAATTATTCCTAAGTTGTTTATTAACTCTAGACTACTGTGTACTATGGTTCATTAGTAAACTTAGGTTATTGAGTGCTAAATCATATATACTAAGAGTCCAGGCTCTTAAGGGCCAAGGAAACAACTTGAGTCTTGGACTAATCTGGTTGAGTAGTCAATTATGAGAGCATAATTGCTTTATATTTTGGATCACTTTTATTAAGGGTAAAAGGGGGAGGGAAATTACATACAAAGATAACATGTATCTGAGTTTCTGAAATAGTTTTTAGATTACTTTTTCAACTGTAAATAATGTAAATTTATTACAAGAAAAATTCTTTTCTGCAAATATTCTAGTATAGCAAAGAAAAATTTTTGTAAGTGAAAAAATTGTTTTCGTTTTCATTATGAAGTGAATTTGTATTTAAACAAAAGTTAAATTTTGGAATTCTCTAAATGTTTTTGTATCTTTAATTGTTTTATTATTAAATAAATCATGTGAAAATTCTGTTTGCAGGCAAAAATTTCTTAAAAAACAAGTGTCAAGAGAGTATTGCTAAAAATAAAAAAGAGAGAGTATTGCTAGTTCTATGTTTCTGTAACAAACTCCATTAGTTAGAAGTGTAGGATGTCATCTCTTGCTTTTGATTTTTTTTTTTTTTTTTTTTTTTTTT